TAAGAGAAAAACTACTGATAAGAGAAATGATGTTAAGCTTGATTTCATGATTTCATGTTTTCTCAATACGAATTTTTGTTGAAACGTGGCTTCTTTGACATACCTGAATTGAATATCGAAACTTCATCATTTAAAGTAGTCTTCGCTCAGATCATCGTGAAATGTTACGACAGACGAAAGAGAAGCTGCGTTGAAACGTCAGTGCTTCTGAAATCCTAAATTAAAGAAGAAGAAAAACAAGTGAAAAGTTTTCAAAGTATTAAAATTGACCAACTTGGAGTTAAAGCCCTGCAGATTTTCATACAACTGATTTGACATAAACTCACCTGTAGGGAGAATAGAGTTTGGTAAGAAACTTATAATCGAGACTTAAAGTTTCAGTCGTGTTGGGACAAATGTTTACGAGTCTTGCCCGAACATTTCGAAAGATTCTTTCAAGGTCTAATAGGTTTATGACAGAAATAGAATAAATTCATATAACCCATTCGTTATGTGCCAATGAGTTTGTCACAAATATCACATGAGAAGAACAGTTAAGAACGGTCGTGAACATTCATTGCAAGACATCATCGCCGCCGAATTTTCTCAGTGATTCCCAGTCAACCGATGTTTCAAAGGGTAATTATTTTTGTCGGGTGGTGATGACTTTAAAGTCACAAAAATCAGCGAAATATATCATGCGTGTAAAATTCTCGTGACCACGCGAGAGTGATTCACTTTCAAATGTAATGGACTGTTTTAAACAAGTGGTCACGGCGGTTAGCCAAGAATGAGCTAAAAACTTTCTGTGGAACCAAAATTAAAAGGTCATGAAGATGCACACATACGTGTAGTGCTTGCGAATGTATTCGCCTTTTTGCTGATTTTTGGGACCCTACAGTCACCACCACCTGACAAAAATCATTACCATTTGTAGCATCGGTTGATTTGGAATTTTCACAGGGAAAACTCAGCGGTGAAGATGTATTTAAATTCATGTTCACAGCGGTTCTTAATTGTTCCTCTCATTAGCCTTAAGTAACAAACTATTTAAATCCTTTAGTTGTCATCGGCTAACTAACGGCACTGTCGAATCGACGAATTTTATCCAACTTTAAAATTTTATTAAATCGTGCTAAATCATTTCCCCAAAAAAATCCTATGGATAACGAGAAAAACTACATTTCATCTCACTTTTCTGAACTTCTCTAATAGCATTTTCTCCTGTTAAGAACCAAAATCCTTATCAAAGGAATCGTTTTATTGCGATTATTTCAAGGAGAATCGAGGTCCTTTGAACAAGATTGAATAGAAGAGAATTTTTGTAGTTAGAATGCATCACATATAAGTAAGTAAGTAAGTAAGTAAGTTTATTAAATCTCCACCCAGTGACTCTACCGATTTAATCTACAATAATTGGAAATCGAATAAAACTACCTATAAAAGTTACAATAATATCATGATAAAGAAACAAATACAAATAAATAACTAAGATATTCTTAAAATCCTATACCTAAAAAATATTCCTACGGACTGTCATATATTTCGCGCTTTATTGCACGCTTGAAAACTGAGAGTGTTGCGCTATTTTTCGTTTCTTCACTTATAAGAGAATTCCAGGCAGTGATTGCTCTATAGCTAAAAGGCTGTCCTACAAAAGGGTACAACAAAGTTGTCCCTAGATCTAGTATTGTAGCTGTGGGTAGCTGATCTTTTGTTAACGTAACACTCTAAATATGGTGGTGCAAGGCCATTGACTATTTTGTATAGCATCGTAACATCACACACTAATAACTGGTTCTTAATAGAAGGCCAATACAGTGCCCGCAGCACTGGTTAGATGTGATCAAACTTCTTGCTGTTTGTCAACACACAGGCAGCAAAGTTTTGTACAAGTTGCTATTTGTTTATGTTGTGCGCAAACGTTCCAGACCAAACTGTCGAGCAATAAAAGAGTTTACAAAAAACTAGACTATTCAGAATGGTGGTAAGTACTGATTTGGAAAACAAGTGCCTAGCTCTGCTTATCTGGCATAGGGTAGAAATAAGAGACGAGGTCAGGGTGTTAACGTGTTCATTAAAAGTAAGGTTCGAGTCCAATATTGATGGAGATATAAGATGGTAATTATGGTAATTATGGGTAACGGACGTGCTTCATATCGCTGCTTGATTTTCTTTATTTTTTTCACAGTTCTTTATATTATTTCAATTGAAAAACGACATATGGATTGCCTAAACATTTCCTCTTTGGATTATATTTGCAAGAATCATTGTTTGTATCCTAACAAGTGGATTTCTGCTGTATTACTACCTCGTTATTTAACAACTAATCGGCCTCGCTTTGTTTGTCTACGACCTAAAGGTTACAACACATCCAAAGTCAAATACTACGCTAACTCAACTACCACCTTCAACCAAGCTCGTCTTACTTTGGCTGGTGACGTTGCTTCTAACCCTGGTCCTGAAATGGGTTTCTTGTCGTCACAATTTGACTTTGGAGCAATTTCTCAACCGAAGGAAGATTTAATTATTCAAAACGAAGATTCTCAATGTTATTACATTCCAACCATTGTTTCTACGCATCGACGACCATCAAAGAAAATTTACTCAAGAAACATCAACAATATCATCTCTATCACACGCGTTGGCCATCTACCGAGAACCATTGCTTCTAACCCTGGTCCTGAAATGGGTTTCTTATTGTCACAATTTGACCTTGGAGCAATTTCTCAACCGAAGGAAGATTTAATTATTCAAAACGAAGATTCTCAATGTTATTACATTCCAACCATTGTTTCTACGCATCGACGACCATCAAAGAAAATTTACTCAAGAAACATCAACAATGTCATCTCTATCACACGCGTTGGCCATCTACCGAGAACCAAATCCACCAGTAATTTTGCTCTCCTCAATGTGCGTTCGATTGTTAAAAATCAACTCATTTATGCGATTTGGTCATCTCCCACCATTTAGACATCCTGGCCATAACAGAGACTTGGCTTAAAGGAACCGAGGATGACAACCATGTTATTACTGACATCAACAACATTCTTCCGCATTTTAAACTCCACCACATACCAAGAAGGAATCGTAAGGGCGGCGGAGTCGCTTTGTTGATACGAGATGGTTATACCGTACTGCAAAATTCCATCATGAACACAAGCTCATTTGAGTACTTAGATGTGAGCATATCCAACAAAAGTGAGACATTCCGTTTAATTGTTCTCTATCGCCCTCCTCTGTGCAAAAAGAACAACACTGGAAATAGCTTTTTTGCAAGAATTCTCATCTTTTCTTGAAGAACTTACATTATCAAGGCAGCCCATTATAATTGCCGGTGATTTTAACTACCATGTTGATGATCTATCAAATCCTGAAGCTGCCTCCTTTCTAAATCTCCTTGAGTCCACTGATCTAATTCAAAATGTATCTGGATCCACTCATCGCCTGGGCCACACATTGGACTTGATATTATCTCGTGAAGAGAATAATGTTATAACGGATGTTCGCATTCTATCAGCCGACAATATTTCAGATCATAATTTGGTTACTTGTAAGGTGAAATGTACAAAACCGAAACCTTCTACACTACATGTTAAACACAGAAACACCAAAAGGCTCGATTTAGCTAGTATGATCAAAGACATCGAAGAATCTAATCTCATTACTAATCCACAGTCTTGTGTAACTGAGCTGACTACACAATATAATACTAATCTCTCGTCTATCTTTGATCAACATGCTCCTGTGAACGAGAGATGGGTCACTCTGCGACCGCATTCTCCTTGGTATACTGATGAACTTCGTAAGGCTAAACAAGACAAACGTCGTCATGAAAGAAGATATATTTCATCTGGTCTTCAAATTCACCAAGAAATATTTATTGATTCCTGCAAACACTACAATGATCTTCTAACAGCGACAAAGACAAACTATTATCGGACTCTGATCAGCTCCTCTGACCAATCACAACTATTCAAGATGGTATCTCGCCTATTCTTATCGAAGAACATTGCTGCACTCCCTAATAATGATTCATTGGATACATTGACCGAAACGTTCAACGATTTTTTTTTTTATCAAAAAATTGAGAAAATAAGATCGGATTTGGACTCCCATACTGCCCAAGCACCCGACATCAACGTCAATTATCCAGTCACCTCGTCGTTCCAAATTTTTCAACCTGTATCTGCTGATATTGTTCACAAACTTATTGTTCAATCTCCAACTAAGTCTTGTCAACTGGATCCCATTCCAACACGAATTCTAAAGTCAATTCCACACTTGACGCCAATTATAACCAAGATTATCAACGCCTCCATGGCTAACGGAGAATTTCCTGATCAGTTAAAACAATCCCTGGTATGTCCATCTTTAAAGAAGCCTTCATTGGACCCGAACTGTCTCTCAAATTACAGACCGATTGCAAATCTATCTTTTCTCTCAAAAACAATCGAAAGGGTGGTCGCAAATCAAATATACAGATTTATGTCCGAGAACCAGTTATTTCCAGCGATGCAGTCAGCATACCGCAAATACTACTCCACTGAAACTGCTTTAATAAAAGTCTCAAATGACATCCTAAGAGCTGTAGATCAAAAAGAAGAAGTAGTACTTGTTTTGCTAGACCTTTCCGCTGCGTTCGACACGATCGACCATAACATATTACTTGAAAGAATGGAGAAACGTTTCGGATTTAGAGGTATCGCACTAAAATGGTTCAAATCATACCTAGAACATCGTGTTCAGTCAGTGAAGATCAATCACTCTATCTCTAAGCCTCGACATATCTCCTACGGCGTACCCCAGGGATCAGTACTTGGTCCACTACTCTTTCTAATGTATACCTCGCCTACAGAAGACATTGTTGCTGAACATGGCCTAAACTGTATGATATATGCCGATGATTCGCAACTTTACATAAAGATAAACTCCTCTGACAGAATGCTAGGCATGGAAAGATTGAAATCATGTGTTAATGCAATCATGGAGTGGGCCAAGAAAAACAGATTGCAGTGCAACCCTTCAAAAACAGAAATCATTCATTTCCTCTCACGCTTCTCAAAAAATCCTCCTTTCTGTAATATCAATATTGGAGATGATATCATTAATTTATCTAATACTGTCCGAGACCTAGGCGTCATGCTTGATTCTGTGATGAACTTACGCTCGCATATAAATTCCATCTGTAAATCGTCGTCTCTAGCAATCAGAAATATTGGTCGCGTTCGTAAATACCTCTCGACGCAGCAAAATGAAAGATTGATACACGCCTTTATCTCATCGAGACTTGATTATTGTAATAGCCTATTGTACGGTCTACCGATTTGTGACATCGAAAAATTCCAACGGATCCAAAACACAGCTGCCCGCTTGTTAGTCGGTGCCAAATCAAGAGACAGTATAACACCTATACTTAGGAAACTTCATTGGCTCCCGGTCACAAAACGAATTCAATTCAAGATACTGTTGATAACATACAAAGCACTAAATGACATGGCTCCAACCTATCTTGTTGAACTTCTTAGTCGATATATTCCAGCACGAAACCTCCGTTCATCAAATATGAATCTACTTGAGGTCCCAACAATTCGAACTAAAACGTATGGGCAAAGAGCATTCTCCTACGCAGCACCGTATTTGTGGAACCAACTACCTGAATGCATAAAAACGCCGAATCTGTTGACTCCTTTAAACGCTTATTGAAAACTCATCTTTTCAAAAATTAAGCCACCAGATTATTTGATATCGTACGTTGTCAAACATATGCATAACACGTAATAATTCATTAGTTTAGATAGAGTAGCGAATTGCATGTATAGGATTTTTATCGAAATTTTGTTAATTTGTAATTGTAAAGCGCATAGAGTTCAATTTTAATGCGCTATATAAGAACTTATTATTAAATTAATTAAATATTATACCCAGGTCTTTGACTGAGGACACAGGAATTAAGTGTTGCCCAAGAAAGGGGACTCTGATATAAGGAACCCTACTTAAAAGCTGTTTCGTTCCAAAAAGAATAAGTTTAGTTTCGTCTGGATTAATAAGCAACTTATTCGTACAGCACCAGGAGGCAATAAGTCGGAGATCTTCCGAGACTTTTGCAAGGCAGGAGTCAATATTATTCGATGAACACGAAAGATAAACCTTTGTGTCATCAATATATGACTCTACGCTTGAAAACTTAACAACGGACGGTAGGTCGTTCATGTAAAGGCTGAACATAAGAGGCCCTAGAATGGACCCCTGTGGCACGCCATGTGTGACAGTTAACTCACTAGAGCGAGATGTACCGAGTCGTGTTGACTGCATTCGGTTTGTAAGATAGCTCTCAAACCACTTTGACGCTTCATTTGACGCACCGAGCCCTTTCAGCTTGGTGAGGAGAGGTCTATGACATATGCTGTCAAAAGCCTTGCTCAAGTCGATTAGGACCATGGCCGTGATCTCCTTTTTATCCATCACTTTATATATATGACCGGTGACAAGCAAACTCAGTGTTTCAGTAGAATGGTGTTTACGGTTTCCGCTTTGATGACAGGTGAGGTTGCCTTGTTGAGTCAAATAATCAGTGAACTGATTCAGGGCGATCTTTCGGTCACTTTAGAAAGTACAGGCAATAATGAAATAGGGCGATTGTTACTTGGAATCTCGTGATCACCATCTTTAAGATGTGGCACTACTTCCGACTTCTTCCAGGCCTTAGGGAAAACAGAGTTGTTAAAAGAAGAGTTTATCAATGCAGTTAGAGTTGATAATATATACGGTAAACAGTCCTTGATCACAAACACTGGAATTCTGTCATAGCCTGGAGCTTTATTAGAAGGCATGGCCGTAATCACTTTTTGCACATCTTTACTGGTTATTGCTTTGAAGTCAAACAGTTCATCACAATGAGTTGAACCGAGATAAACAGGAGTAGTTGGTAGGCCTTGAAGGCGAGCGGGCTCTGCAGAGTCATTGGCGGCCTTCTGTCCCACAGATATAAAGAAGCGATTGAATTTATTAGCGAGTGCATCTGTGTCCTTGGTAAAGCTTGGGCGGCCTGATTTATTCGGGAGGGCACTGCGAATAGTTTTCCACATTGCCCCTCTGTTGTTCTTATTTTCACAGATTTGATGATTCTAGTGCTCTCGTTCCGCCTTCCGTAAAACAAATTTAACTCTATTTCGCAGCTCCTTAAAAGCCTCCCAATCTTCCCTCGTCCCAGTCCTTCTCGCTCTTTTGTGAAGGTGGTCTCTCGCCTTCATCAAATCCCTTATGTCCTCCGTGATGAATGGGTTTGGTTTATGTCGTATTTCCACTGTTTTAACCGGAGCATGGTCGTCCAGACACGCCAACAGCAAGTCATTAAATGCATCGAGTCTGTTATCAACGGATTCGTCTATCAGGTTCATAGTATCCCATGGGATGTGCGCGATGTCATTTGCAAACTGATCGGCTTTATTATTCCGAAAACTACGTGTGACGATGTAGGTTGGGGCTTGCTTGGGTGATCGTAAGTTAATAACAGCTTGAGCCAGAAAATGATCACTTATAGTTATTTCAAGAACACCGCTCGACTTAACAAGGAAAGGGTCAGAGACCAAGATGACATCCAATAAGGAGCGTGAGTTCTCAGTCACGCGAGTTGGCTTGTCTATAAGCTGTGTCGCATTTATAGTTGCACAAAACGACAGCAATGCTTCTCCCCTCGGATTGTTTGAAAGAAGATCACAGTTTAAGTCGCCTGTTAGCACAATGTCCTTGTTGCGTGATAACGCTTCTATGTACTTTGGGAGCAGTTCATTCTCTAGGCATGCAGTTCCAATTTCCGGGGGTCTGTAAACAATACAAACCAGCAATGAACGAAGCTTCTTATTTTGAACTTGAATCCACAACTGGTGTAGGCCGGATTCGGATATTTCCGTGAGATCCTTCAGGACTTTTACCTTCAGAGTAGATTTTACGTAAGCACATACACCGGCACCTGCTTTTCCAAGGCGATCAAGTCTAAAGACCTTGTATCCCGGGTTTCGACAACACTGTTGGTCACGGAAGAGTTAAACCAGGTCTCCGAGATGGTTAAAATATCGAAATCACGTTCCAAGGCTAACTCCTTCGTTTCAGTGAAGTGTTGTCTACATTTGAGAAGCTCTGCGTTAAGATGGGCTATTTCCAAGAGCTTGTTTTGGTGTTTATGCACCGTTGATTGTGCATTCTTTGTCAATTGTAGTCTATTACAATTTGCGCTCACGTGTCCAACTGAGTCAGGGATGCGACGAGTCTGTCGATTCCCATGAATAAGAGCAATCCTACTGCTAGTGGTATCTGGACCTGGTAATGGGTGGATGTCGCCACTTAGTGAAATACACAGTTTCATAAAGTTAAAACCAGCACAAGAGTTAGGATAATATGAAATTCTTTGTTTAAAATATTTTCGCCGCGGATCAGTGAACCGGCACGTTGAGCGACAGCACCGCCAAAGAGAAACAAAAGGTTCAGGAGAGGTATTTTGAACCCTTACAAAGGATGGCCGTTCACAAGGCAGATTTCCGCGGGCGAAGCTAATCCATAACTCATCTGAATTGCAAAAACCTCCAAAAGCAAGTCTGGTAAGCGAAGAGTAGATCGAAATAACACTTCTTTCCTGAATATACTGCGCAAAGCCTCTAGAAAACTCCAGTCCACGACGTCCTACAATGTTCCCATAGGTGTTAAGCTCAGTCTGTCTGCATAACGTAGAGCTTGAGATGAGAAAATAGATCAAAAGTGGAGAGCACAAAAGGCCGTGTCTAGCAGTCATTATGCTAATCTCTGCTCCTATATACGAATATCTTGAGAAGAGTATGTATTTTAGAACCGGGAATTCTTTTCTCAAGAAGGAAAATTCTTTCCAGCAGGCCATCATGATGAAGTAGAGAGTTCTTATGGAAATAATGTTTAATTGAAAATCTTCTGGATAGCATCGCAATTTCAGGAACTCTTGCTGTAAGAATCGGGACTTCTTTTCTCAAGAACGAGAATTATTTTTGGCAAGCAATGAAGTAGAAAGTTCTTCTGGAAAGAATGTTTAACCGCAAATCTTACAAACGGAATCGAAATTTCAGTAACTCATGCCACAAGAATCCGGAATTCTTTTTCTCAAGAACGAGGACTCTCTTTGGCAGGCAATGGAATAGAAGGTTCTTCTGGAATGGAATGTTTAATTGCAGATCTTGTGAAAAGAATCGAAATTTCAGAATTCGTTAGATAAGTGGCAGAATCTCTCATTACCAAAATTTTATTAAGTTAACTTTTATTGCTAGTAACTTTGATAATTATAGACTAAATTATCTGATAAAGTCTGATAAAACTTTGCTATAATACAGCGGTGGAGTAGGTGCATGAACGATTCCCCGGGAAAACGAAATATGATGTCGCAGCCGCAATAATTTAAATTAATTTTTCGTGTGAACATTCGTAACACCAAAATTAATAACTTTGGAAGCGAAAGATTATCTGGAGGTTGAAAAGTTCCAAAATAGTCCATAAATTATAGTCATCGGAATCTGTTGTGATAGTTCAAAAGAGAAACGCGGTCGATGTTAAGCGCTTGGTAACTGCCCTATATTAGATTTCGGTTGCGCGGGCTCGATCAACGTTTTTAACGGCTTCCGAAAAAGTGCGCCGAATAATACGTTGTCGTTACCTTGTTTCGATCTCAAATGAGGAAGGAGACTTGAGTGGCAAATACTGCCTTCCGCTCTACGGTTAACTTGTACGTTAGGAGGGCATTCAAATCTGGGTTCATATAGAGTGATTCAATAGGAGTATTCGGAGTGTCAGGTGGGTTCTTGTTACAATAATTCAGCATAAAGCGATCGACAGAAGCTTGTATCAATAAGATGTGGTCCAAGAAACTGAATCCTGCTTGATCGGACTTAACTTTCATTGGAAACATGCTGATAACAAAGCTGTTAAAAGGAAGTGCTCTTCAAGAACTGATTGAACCAGGTTCATACGACACTGATTGCAGGACTGACAAATTTCATTTCATTTGCAGAGCTCGAGGTTAGGATAAATTACAACTGAATGGAGCCGAATTATGTACTTGAAGACTTCAATTTGCAACAAAATGAAACTATTTTTGCATGATTTAAAATTGAGCATTCCCCTTCCCCTTTCAATCATGTTTGTGAACAGAAAAGTAATGGATTGCTCAGCTAGAGAAGGGATCATAGGAAAGGACTAGGAGTTGCAATTGGCCTGCTGTTAATTCATTAACGTACAAAAACTGCTTTTTTGCAGATTGTAAAAGTAATGAATGGTATGGGGTATGATCAGGGAATGACATATGTAGCTAATATACCAAGAGTAAGATGTGTAGATGAAAATGGAAAGTTGTCCATAATACAGTGAATGTTGATAAGGTTGTTCATTGATAATTTGATGTATACATAATGTTGGTGTGAATGTGTAAGTTAATTATCTTATCTGTGAATTGTATGTTGAAAAATAGATCCAAAAAATGAGGTATTATTTAAAAGTGATATGATATTATTATAAGATACAAAAAATGAGTTGATAAATAGTAAATGTTTTCGATAAAGTGAACGTCGATATAGTTGTTCGTTGATAACTTGATGCATACATTATAGATATGTGAGTTAGTTCTATGTTACATTGATTGTATGATAAAAAAATGAAACCAAATAAAATTAGATTCTTTTTAGTGTAATTTACTGTATTAGGGGAATATCAATCCTTTCAATAACTCAACAAAACCCAATAAAGTCTTAAGATTCTTAATGAAATATTCAGACCTCAGGAGAGCACAAAGACTTAATCAGCAAGAATGCTTTTGAATGTTATTCTTCACACAAAAAAAGTCAATCTCTTGTGAAGAAAACGAGCAGTTTAAAAACGAATAATCATTCTTGGATGAAGGACCAAACCTCTCATGAAGAATATTCTCAATAGAATATGCAGAACTCAAAGGAGCACAAATGTAAGAATGCTTTTGAATGTGATTCTTCACACAAGCAAATTTCAATCTCTGGAGAAGTACTGTCGATCTAAAAACGAATATTCATTCTCGGATGAGGGACAAAAATTCTCATGAGAGGACTCAGAAACTAACATTCTTCTCAAACTAATATTGCGTCTTCAGGGGGGAGCAGTAATTCTTCTGATAAGCTTGCTTAAAAAATGAGATTCTGCTCAATTAAATGGATATCACCTTGAGAGGAGAGCAGTGTTTCTCAGTAGAATACCTCATTACCTGGTTCTTGGCTAAATAATTTTGGGAAAAAACTAGTATTCTTCTAACCAAAATCAGACATACATGAGATTCTTCTCATAGAAATTATTAACCTTGGGAGAAGACCCACAATTCTTTCTTTAAACGGATATCATCTTGGGAGGAGAGCAGTGTTTCTTTTCAGAAGAATACCCCATTAACTGGTTCTGTTCAATAGAATTGAACTGAAGACCGAACTTAACCATCATAGTTCACAATTTGCAATAGTTTACAAACTGAAATAGATCGGCATAGTGGGTCTCTAATACAAAATCTGAAAGTGAAATATTCCTTGAAATACACTTTGACATACCTGAACTGAATATCGAAACTTCATCATTTAAAGCAGTCTTCACTCAGATCATTGACAAATGTTAACGACAGACGAAAGAGAAGCCGGCGTTGAAACGTCACTGCTTCTGAAATCCTAAATTAAAGAAGAAAAACAAGCGAAAAAGTATATAAATTGACCAACTCTGAGTTAAAACCGTGCAGGCAGGCTTAGCATGAGCAGAAGGAATTAAAATACTGCTCAGATTGAAATTCTCTTCGTAATATTTTGCTATGTAGTGGATGATTCCTACCTTTGCTTCATCGTGTACAGCGAGGTACAGTTTTGTTTGTGAATTTAGCCTCAATTTGACTCAACTATGTATCTCACGCATTTACATCGATTGAGCTTCGTCATTCTGACTGGCTTTTCCATTTCATGACTGAAATAGATCATTCTTCGTTCAATTTTACCAGAACTATGGATTTAATTTCGATAAACTTCGTTCTCAATGAGAGATCTTTAGTTGTGGCTTCCATCCGGAAACATTGTTATTACCACCGTGAGAATTGTGACGACGACTAAAAGTAAAGCATTTAGAGCATATCAGGTTTCACGATGCTCGATGATTACCTATGGACGTAAAATTGAAAAAATGCCTATTTCAAATCAAAGGTGCGGTAATTAATCAGTCTTTCCGATGGATAAACAGGTTCTTTTTTCAACATACCTACCCGAAGCTTGGCCTTGAATGTTTCAAAGACCATCCGTACAGAAATACAGAAATGTTCGGTGGAAATGCTTGTCAATGATGTACTCCCTTATCTACCCGCTTCAGACAAATGGAACTTTCCACGCACCAGTAACAACGGGAGGAATTCATGGCCGAAATAGAAAAAGATTTAAAGAGATTTTAAAAAGATTATCGACTAGCGTTCAATCTTAAAATTGCTGGTTTGCGCACCTGTCTCCACGCAATTTCTCTTCAAACGCTCTTCGCGTTCAGGTCACGTGGTTTTTTTGGGTAAACAAGTTCACAAATATGCCATCCAAAATGGCGCTAGTATCTCCAATGATGAAAATCACTTAGTTTCGACGAAAAATTTGAGTTTTTTTTCCGAAGTTTACGATCGAAAAGTTCAAAAGCACTAGGAAGACTGCAGACAAAAGGACGTCGGGTCTAAGGGATATAATTTTTTACCGAAAGTTATGTTCATGACGTTTACGTGGCACACGATCAAGCCCCATGCGGAAAAACATTTTTTTAAGCCTTACGCTTTAGAAGCCAGCGAAAAGGTGAGGAGCCGCACAAGTTGTCGCTTTAATTTGAAAGTGATGACAACGGTGTTACAAACGTAGTGCAAAAGTCTTGTTCCTATTTTTACGGAGTGGTCGCTTTAGGTAGACCTCATTTTGAATTAAGTAACGTTATTCCGCACGCGCGAGACTAGCAACGTTCCGCCTACATTTATTTCGCAGTTTGGTTGAATACTAATATTTAAGCAAAGTCTCTTATTCCTTTTCAACGAAATAGGAATAGAGAAACCTCAAGTTAAAAACCCCGAAACACGCTTTGTAAGGGCATGATCAGGAGGCGTTGACTATCCTGCCAAGTTATTTTGCTTTGATGTGAACGATGTAACAATTTCAAGACTGTAGCCCTCTTCTTCAAAACAGCAACATGGAAGGTAAGAAGATATTATGTTAAATAAGCTGTATATTGGACGTAAAATGCGAAACAACTGGGTTTGCGTATGTATTTGTACATTTTCGGCTAATTAACGGCACTGTCGAATCGGCGAATTTTATCCAACTTTAAAATGTTATTGAATCTCGCTAAATCATTTCCCAAAGAAAAAACCTTTGAACATCGAGAAGAACTAAACTTCATCTAGATCTTGCAAAAGAAAGATTTCAATCAATTATTTTGTATTGCACATAGTTAAATAACGGTCTTTAAAAGCTGAATTACTCGTGTTTATCTAATTCAAACTGCACTAGTTGCACTGCACACAAAATAAGAGAAAAACTACTGCATAAGAGAAATGACGTTAAGCTTGATTTCATGTCTTCTCAATACGAATCTTTGTCGAATCGTGGCTATTTTGACATACCTAATTTGAATATCGAAACTTCATCATTTAAAGCAGTCTTCACTCAGATCATCGTGAAATGTTAACGACAGACGAAAGAGAAGCCAGCACTGAAACGCCATTGCTTATAAAACCCTAAAATAAAGGAGAAGAAAAAACAAGTGAAAAGTTTTTCAAAGTATTTAAATCGACCAACTTGGAGTTAAAGCCCTGCAGAATTTCATAAAACTGATTTGACATAAACTCACTTGACGGGAGAATAGAGTTTGGTAAGAAACTTATAATCGAGATTTAAAGCTTCAGCCCTGTTTGGACAAATGTTTATGAGTCTTGCCCGAACATTTCGAAAGATCCTTTCAAGGTCTAATAGGTTTATGACAGAAATAGAATAAATTCGTATAACCTATTCGTTATGTGCCGATGACTTTGTCACAAATATCAAACGAGAAGAACAATTAAGAACGGTCGTGAACATTTATTGCAAGACATCATCGCCGCCGAATTTTCTCAGTGATACCCAGTCAACCGATGTTGCAAAGGGTAATTATTTTTGTCGCATGCTGGTGACTTTAAAGTCACAAAAATCAGCGAAATATGTCATGCGTGTAACATTCTCTTGACCACGCAAGAGTGATCCACGTTCAAATGTACTGGACTGTTTTAAACAAGTGATCACAGCGGTTAGCCAAGAATGAGCTAAAAACATTCTGTGGAACCAAAAGGTCATGAATGTGCACACATACGTGAAGTGCTTGTGAATGCATTCGCCTTTTTGTTGATTTTTGGGACATTACAGTCACCACCACCTGACGAAAATCATTGCTATTTGTAGCGTCGGTTGATTTGGAATGTTCACAGGGAAAACTCAGCGGCGAAGATGTATTGGAATTCAGCGGTTCTTGATTATTCCTCTCATTAGCCTTAAGTGACAAACTCTTTAAATCCTTCAGTTGTCATCGGCTAATTGACAGCGCTGTCGAATCGGCGAATTTTATCCAACTATAAAATTGGCTTAAATCGCGCTTAATCATTTCCCTATAAAAATCCTTTGGAGATAGAGAAAAACTACACTTCATCTCACTTTTCTGAATTCCTCTAAAAGAATTTTCTCCTGTTAAGAACCAAAAATCCTTATCAAAGGAATCGTTTTATTGCGATTATTTCAAGGAGAGTCGAGGTTCTTGGAACAAGTTTGAATAGAACAGAATTCTTGTGGTAAGAATGCATTACATCTGAATATCTTGAGAAGAATCTGTGTTTCAGAAACTCTTTCCACAAGAACCGGGAATTCTTTTCTCAAGAACGAGAATTCTTTCCAGCAGGCAATGAAGTTGAGAGTTCTTCTGGAAAGAATGTTTAAACGCAAATCTCACAAAGAGAATCGCAATTTCAGTAACTCGTGCCACAAGAATCCGGAATTCTTTTTCTCAAAACGAGGACTGTCTTTGGCAAGCAATAAAGTAGAAGGTTCTTCTGGAAAGAATGTTTAATTGCAGATCTTATGAAAAGAATCGAAATTTCAGAATTCATTAGATAAGTGGCAGAATCTCTCATAACCAAAATTTTATTAAGTTAACTTTTATTGCTAGTAACTTTGATAATTATGGACCAAATTATCGGATAAAGTCTGATAAAACTTTGCTATAATACAGCGGTGGATTAGGTGCATGAACGATTCCCTAGGAAAACGAAATATGATGTCGTAGCTGCGATAAATTACATTAAATTTTCGTGTGAACATTCATAACACCAAAATAAATAACTTTGGAAGCGAAAGATTATCTGGAGGTTTGAACAGTTCTAAAATAGTACTTAAATTTTTGTCATCGGAATCTATTGTGCTAGCTAAAAAGGGAAACGCGGTCGATGTTAAGCGCTTGGTAACCGCCCTATATCCGATTTCGGTTGCGCGGGCTCAATCAACGTTTTTAACGGCTTCCGAAAAAGTGCGCCAAATAATAGGTTGTCGTTGCCTTGTTTTGATCTCATATGAGGAAGGAGATTTCAGCGGCCAATACTGCCTACCGCTCTAAGGTCAACTTGAACGTTAGGAGGGCATTCGAATCTGTGTTCATATAGAGTGATTCAATGGAATATTCGGAGTATCAGGAGAGGACAGGAACGTCATTTCAGAACGGCGCGCGCAGCAGAAATGCCGATAAGAAACTGACTAAAATGGGCCGAAAACGCCGTCGCGTTATGTTGAAAAGTGATTTAGCAATCGTTGCAACGAGAATCCTCACCTCGGCTTTCTAAAGATCACCATCACCTTTGAATTGTTGGTTTTACAGATCACTCTAAGGACAACGTTGTAGATACGGCAAGTAAGTTGTTAATATGAATCCACATGGGCGATTAAACGTCGAAACTATTCCATTCCAGTTTAGTCTCGAGTCTGCTGATTCATCTATCAAATTTTTAAGCCCACTAAATAGTTTTTTTTTTTTCATGATTTGTGTCGCTGTCATTTCGTTTCGTGCTGCCAGATTTCAGCACTACTCGTTTTTGTTTATAATGTTGTAAAGGATAATTTGGAAATCGTCGTCGTTTTTCCCCTTGTTTACTGAATATTCTTCTCAATTATGACAGTACATCTCTTTTGAGCACCACCTTCTTAGAGTTGAAGTGGATTTTGAACGGAATTATCAGGAGTTATGGCAAAACCATGTAGAAACCAAGCGACCCAATGATAGAGTTGTTTGCGATGAGTTCCTATTTATCCGTGAAAGAATGAAATTAACTCAAACTAGTCACCAACGAAACGGTTTGACTTAGGAATAAGACTTCGTTCCTGTTTTACTCATTTATTTTTTTCGTTTTTGTTTAATTCAATTTTTTTAAACGAATGAAGTCGTTCAAGACTGAATCAAATTAATAGTTGGTTGTCGTTTTATTTCGAAGCGAGAGTATGACTTTCTTGTCTTAGTTTTCACCGGCGCTGATCAAAATTTTAAACATAAAAAAGTGCACACCTGAGCTATTCTCAATTTTTTTTCATCTCTGGCTTCAATTCGCAGAAAAGTTTTCAATCACGGTAAAAACGACAATAACAACAAATAACTCTGAATAATACAATAGTTAAGCGTCGTGACATTTCATTTTGATAAACTTCAACATGAAGCAAGTTTAATTTATTGATGAAATGATTCATGATAAAATTGACAGCGTCCTATTCTTAGAGTTTTCATATAGGATTAAAGAAATGTCGAAATAGAGATGTGTCCAGACTTCCGCGCGCTTTCCCGTTCTGAAATGACGTTCCCGTCCTCTTGCTAGATCACTCTAATAATTCAGTGTCGATCGGTCGACGGAAGCTTCCATCGATAAGATGAGGTCCAAGAAACTGAATCCTGCTTGATCGGACTTAACTTTCATTGTTAACAAAGCTGTTCAGGAACTGATTGAACCCTGTTCATACTCTACTGTTGCGGGACTAACAAATTTAATTTCATTTGCAGAGCTCGAGGTTAGAATAAGTTACAATTGAATGGGGACCGAATTATGTCCTTGAAGACTTCGATTTGCAGCAAAATTAAGCTATTTTTGCAGGATTTTAAATTTAGCATTCCCCTTCCCCTTTCAATCATGTCTGTGAACAGAGAAGTACTGGATTGCTCAGCTAGAGAAGGGATCATAGGAAAGGACTAGGGGTTGCAATGGGCCTGTTATTATTTCACTGATGTACAACTACTGCTTTGTTGCAGATTGTAAAAGTAATGAATGGTATGGGGTACGATCAGGGAATGATTTATGTAACTAAAACATAAAGAATGAGATATGTAGATAAAAATTGAAAGTTGTTGATAATGCAATGAATGTTGATATAGTTGTGATTATGTAAGTTAATTATGTTTTTTGTGAATTGTATGTTGAAAAATAATCAAAATGGGG